ATATTCTTCAAAAAATTCGGCTGCATCTCTTGTCTGCATGCTGTTGCTTAGTCGATAAAGTTCGGGTTTATTCATAACTGCAAGAAGTAAGCTTGGTTCTTATTATAAGAATTTATAAACAAAATCAATTTTCAGGATCGACCAGTACGTTCGTTCTTAAGCGTACTCAATACAGTTTTGGCTAACAAAAGAGGCTATTGCGAGATATATAATATATGCGAAACTGCTCTCCGTATCCTTTTTTGTAATTTTTATTTTTAGCCATTGTCGAACAATTTATATTTGCATTTAAATGAAATTATAATGATTTTGTACTGTAGGTAATGTTATTTACTGCTAGATTGGCAACACATTTTCAATTTACAAAGTGATAGTGATAAAAAATTGAATGTAATAAACGTATTACATTCATTTAAGGAGTTTTTAATTATTTATTGAACACAATTCATTTTACTGAGCCTAGAATTCTTAGTTTTCATTGCTCTCCAATGTAGCTCTATGTAATATACCAGCCTACTAATTATGCTGATTCATGCGGGCCCAAAATCGATCTAAGTGGCGTGCAATGGGAGAGGCCCATGTCCAGCAGTGGACTGCGATAGGCTGAAGATGACGATGATGATGATGCGGGCTGCTTAACACATACGTGTAGTATCTAATATAGGTATTAAAACTATTTTATCAAGATAACGACTGACTCTCGCGCAACGTTTTGATGAGCACGCTAATTACCGGAAGCATCATTATGTTCCTGTGTAAAAATATGAATGTGTACAAGTCCTTCAATCCACGTGATCTTGTATAAGCTCTTTGTTAGATATATGTCTGTGTGACTGATTAAAAATAAAGAGTGTCACCTATTCATCCCGTGGGTGTAAGAGCCGACTAAGGGAGAAAACTACGCAGAACAACAGCTCGGCAGAGAAAAGGAAAACTTCAAACCCTATACAAACCCGTCTAGCCAACGTGGTATAGTAGGCCAAAACCTCCTTTCTAAAGAGAGGCTTATGTCTAGCAGTGGACTATTAAAGGGTGTTGATGTGAAGGAAGGTAAAAACTGAATGCGTTTTTTTTCTTTTAAAATGATATCAAAAAGAAGGAGGTTCTTTTTTTGGCTCGTTTTTATTTAATAAATTATGTTACCATTTTTATTTAATAAATTATGTTAATCCGTGTGGTGACGGATTAAGAATACGGAGTGTCACCACCCCTATTCATCCCGTGGGTGTCGTAAGAGTCGACTAGGGAGCAACAACACAGAGCAACAGCACTGCAAAGAGAAGGAAAACTTGAAACAAACCCTATTGGAACCCGTCTAGCCGGCGTGGTATAGTGAGCCTCCTTTCTAAGGAAAGGCCTATGTCCAGCAGTGGACTATTAAAGGCTGTTGATCATGTTCCCGGATTATTCTTAAGTGGATGCCCTATTTTTAAATTGTTCCTAGTTTAAAATAGTAGGTATACTGGCAATTTATTCCATTGCTATCAGAACATGATCATATGGAATTATAATTAGTATCAAAACTGCTCGTCAGATTTTAAATTAATATTTAAAAACTTAATTTTTTTACCTAATACTATTGTATGAATTGATACTTACATCCCTGGTTTTGCAACTGATTTGATGATCTGTAGATAGGGTGTAATATAGGTATCAAGCATAGGATAGCAAGATAGCAAGAATAAGCATGCGTAAATGGATTTTACTGTTACGATAGTGTTTTCTTGCGGGGTTTCTGTTGTGCTTTTGTGTTGCCATGCGTAAGATGCGTGAAGTTATCATGATGGTCTGGTATACTTATGGTCTAAAGTTCTAAAGTGTTGTGTCAAAAGAACTAAGTTTCCCCTGGTTATATCAACAGAGTCAACTTGTTTTAAATAGAAAAGGGTTTTTGACTCGATTGAAAGCTAAATTGTTAATTTGTTTCAGTAAACGCGGCGATCAAGGCGAAGCAAGGGGCATTGGCAAGGGTACGTAGTGCGAGCGACTGCTGCGCACGCAATCGGCAGCGGTTCGTTTCGGATACGAGCGCAAACCAGGCCGGATAACGATAGGTGAGTCGGGTGCGAATGTACGCCTTGTACACACTGAGCTTCGCAGGGAGCGGCAATTGTTACGATAGTACGAGTCGCAGAAGGGAGCGCGTCGCACGAACCTGGGCTACGACATAATTGACGTGAGGCTTCATAGTGAGGGTGGGGTCGATGGTCGATATTCTAGCCCTTGAGCTTCAGCTGTGGTAGGGTCACGTTTCCTATGGAGATCGCCTAAGCCTTCGCCACGTTGACTGTCAGTCTCTAGTCCTTCAGCCAGCTGGGAAGTGAGTCTGGAATACGCTGCATCTTGTTAGCTGCTTTGGCACCATTTATTGACGTCGCGATATAGGCAGTGTCGGCGTACAACGCAGTGTCCGGTGCGGAAGTTGCCGTTGACGAGATGCGTCAGCGTCGCGATTGCTCGCGGAGGTAAGTGACGCAAGGCTTCATTGGTAACCCGGTCGGGAAAGGACGCTTTTCGAAGAGGCGTTCGGTGAATTAGCCGCTTGATTTGACCAAGGGAGAAGATGGCAGGGTCCTCAGTCGGGGCTATCGGCCGCTGAAAGTAGAACTCGAGATTCCTCTCGACCTCGACCTGCTGAACTGCGCCTCAACACGATAACGTAGGGTGCCGTCACCGGCCATCAGAGGCCTAATCGGAGTTGGTTTCCCGGAAAGTTTGTGTATGCTCGACCAGTCTTCACTAGCTCGCTCGATGGTGCGTTGCCAGGACTCCACCGGAAACCAAGGCCCAGCTGTCTCTTGTCTGATTCTGCTCTTACTGTTATTGTATATACTCTTGATTACACAAATGTGTTCTTTTTTACCCCTTGTGTTATCAGGCTTTCCCATATGCTTTTATGTGATACGTAGTCAAATGCTTTTTGGTAATCAATGCATGTTACGTAGAGTGGTCTATTTTTGTGGTCTATTTTTTGTATGTAGATGTCTGTCGCGGGGGCTTGGGTATTGATCTCTACTATCCGTACTTGTAATTTCTCTAGGACTGTATAGATTTTGTCGATAATCTTCTGTTATATATAACGCTGTATTTTTTTTTCTTTTTGAATATGCTGATTTTATACCGAGTGTGGAAAATGTGACTATTATTGTTCTAGGTTTGTCCTCATTTTTCCTATTGTCTATATTTCTTGTATATCCATATGATCCAGGTCCAAAGAGAAGCGTCCTTTTATAAAGTTGATCATAATTCTTTTTAGATTTGAAAATGATGTTTCTATTTCTTCTATCCCGAAAAAGACAACATTATTCTTTCTCTTCTGTTTTTTTTATAAAATATAGTATTTCATCTTGATTTTCTATTTATTCCTTAAGATTTTCGTATTTATCGTCCAGTATTTTGAATTTTTCTTCTAAAATGCAGTTTATATTCTGGGTTATTTGCTCGGCAACTCTCTCTCCGTTTTAACATCGGAGTTTTTGTTACGTCGAGTTCCCTTCGGATATTTTTAGTACATTCATAACTTCTACCATATTTGTAAATACTGGATTGATTGCTCGATTTTTTATTTTTTTGGTATTAGTAGCGCCCTCTCTTGCTAGCCCGCTGTAGTTCTTGCAAAGACGGTCGCTCGATCGAGTCGATCAAATAGTATGTGGTCAAACGTAGAGCGTAGCGTAGCTTCAAGCGTAGACCATATAATTTTGTTGTTATGGTACCGACACTCTTTAAAAGATGGGGTTGGGTTTATGCGCTAATGTTATTTTTTTGTTGTTGTTTTTTTTTATGAGGGGTTTTCTACTCGGTGCGAATAGATTAAGCAAAATAGTTTGGCATTGTTTGCACTTTAATTGTTCAATGACTGTTTGATATAACTCAATGCTATTTTGTTTCTGCTGGGTCTTTTTTCATAGCACTGTTACGGTATTTCGTTACTGCAGTTTTTTCACAAATAGAGACATGATAAAATGGGCTTGACATTAATTTTATGGTATCGAAAAAATACTACATTTCTTGATTTCAAAAATTTATTTTAGTCTCTTACAGTTCTAGTATTACAGGCTCTGTCCAGTGTAGAATCAACCTGCCCGTGTAAGATGCGTAAAGTTATTATTATTATTATTATAGTCCGGGAAATAACGGGTCTATCAATAGGGATGACCTGGTTTTGACAGCTCATAGTGGTCATGTTTGATGATGGATCTTTGACGTCTCTTGACATTTGTGTTCAGTAAGGTTTGCCATTTTATCATGCCACGTTTCACTTTAAACCAACGCTTGGAAATTGTCCAAAACTTCTTTGAAAGTGACGAAGGAAACCCTGTTACTGTGAATGGCGAGCGCTATAACTCGATGTTAACCGAATATTTCTTTCCGGAATTTGATGATATTGATGCAGACGACCTTTATTTTCAACAAGACGGTGCACCACCTCACATTACTCGAGTGAACATGGAATTATTGCGTGGAAAGTTTGGTGAGTCGTTAATTTCGAGAAATGGACCGATCAGTTGGCCACCAAGATCGTGTGATTTAACACCTTTGGACTATTTTTCTTTGGGGTTACGTTAAAACTAAAGTGTACAGCAATAATCCAGCTACAATTCGTGACCTAAAAACCAACATTCGACGAGCCATAGCCGACATATCGGCCGAAATGGTGCTCCACGACATCGAAAATTGGCGTGAGGCGTGAGCCAGCTCTTTTTGCAGAGGTGACCGTCTGCAAAAAGAGCCGCGGCGGTCATGTGGCCGATATATTATTTAAAACATAAATTGCATAAAATTATCTATCAAATAAATCAATCGGATGCATTTTTCATAAAAATTTGGTGTTTTATTCAATTTTTAAACCAGGACGTTCTTATTGGTAGACCCCATACTTATAGTCTAAACTTCTAAAGTGTAGTGTCAAAAGAATTAAGTTTCCCCTGGTTGTATCAACAGACTGAACTTGTTTTAAATACAAAAGGCTTTTGACTCGATTGAAAAGTATTACATTATTAAACTAGGGGCTTATGACCATATACTTTAAATAATTTATAATATATATTAACAATGTTTGGAGGATTGTTAACGCCATGTGCAATTTCGATTTCTTTTAACATTCGTATGAAGTTCTCAAAAGCATACTCAAGGATTTCATCGGGTAGTTTGAATGGAAGGACTGCAATAAAGTGTTCTGAAATTAAGAAAATGTATTGTGTCAATCATTTGAAAGTTTCAGTTAGTACTCAGGCAGTTTTATCGTGGTACAAATAGTAGTACTTACCATTAACTGAGGCGAAATAAGTAAATCTTTTATGTGCTTTTCTTTTAATATTGTATTCAAATGGTAATTTTGTCTTATTAAACATAAGTATGGCAAAAGATCATCAAGCCTTGGTGCATAGGATTCAATTATTTATTTTATGTTTATTATTCACATTGCTATTTTACGCTTTAGTTTATATATTTAAAAAAAATTATGAATAAATTAGTACGTATCAACTTGTTATCATTAAAATGACCACAATAAATAGGGTATTTATATTTAGTGTACTCGTATCTACTTACTTTTAAATAAATGCATGTCATCGGACTGAAAAATCTTATCTTCATACTTCACGTCGACGTCAATGAATCCACTGCTTTCCATCAGTTTTGTAATTTCCTTTTCTGGTTCCTAAAAATGTAGAATAACAGAATTTATTTTAGAATTATAATTAAAATTAGAAATTATAATTTATATTATATTAAAAAAAAAATTACCCTCACACATCTTACATACGGCCGTCTCATCCCAACCTAGGCAGAGCCTTTACTATGGTAACCAGACTGCTGATAAACATACTTATATATTTTAAATAGATACATATTATTGATAAATTATACCCAGACACAAAACAAATGATCGTGCTCATCACACAAATATTTGTCCTTGGTGGGAATCGAACCCACGACCTCCGGCTTAGCAGTCAGGGTCACTAACCACTAAACCAACAGGCCCGTCAAAAAACGAAAAAAAATAATGATGTCCGTCTTAAGTGACAAAATTATGTAGCTTACGGAAAAAGGCCGTAATGAATTAGCATTTGATATTTTTACACAAGGCATCATTATTTATGGCAAAAAAGTTATAAATAGAATATTTGGATAATAGAATATGTACGTCAAACGCACTTTCGCTAGTACAAGTTGAACAAAATATGTTGTTGAAAACGCGCGTTTAGCGCTTGTCATCTAAACATGGCCTTATTGTAAGTAATATACACCTTGGAGTCCCAATACGGTGAAATGTGTTTTTCTACGTCTCCTGCAAAAGGACTGAACACTCTATCCTGCGACATGGTACGAAAGATTTGTTGGTATGGGTTAGAACCCAGAAAAATTGCAAAAAATTGTCCATTTTCTTCCAGGAGATCGAATATGTTTTTGAAAACTTGTCTGAAAATAAACACAAATAATGTCATTTACCTTAATCATAATCGATACATAAAAGTTAAAATATTTTATGTTAATTATTTAAAAAAACATTTATTTGATATTTTTAAGATTTATACTTATAATTAATTAGAATTAAAAATATGATTTCAATAAAATGGAATGAGCTTTTTATTTCGAAGCATGGTAAGTGGGTGCAATAAAGTTTAGAAATAAAAACTGTACAAATATTAGCAATATTAGCATTAAATAACTACCTCGAGAACGGTTGTAGATTTGAAAATACAAAAAAATACTCAAAATGAAAATTGTAGCCAATTTTATAATCTTCAATTTTAACAAACCTTTACTTAAAGGAAATACTTGCAAAAAAACTGCTTTTCGCGACTTTTGACTTTGAATATCATGTGACATATATACGAAAGTTAATATTATGTGACTTTTTCTTAGTCTAGAAAACCAAAATAAAGGTTTATACCATTTAACAGCATATTCACTTCCATTCTTAGTTTTACTACTTTTTGACCTTATTTAACAGTACCATTATAATGTTAAGGAAAAACATGGCAAGATATTACACTTGGTTTAAAAATAAATAGTAGGTACTTATGCCTTTATTAAAGGTAGCTAAAACAAATGACTGAATTGAAAACGTTCATGTCAGTAAAACAAACTATTCAATCTTCGATCAGTTTCCTCAACATAATTCCTGCCGTCAATAACAATGTCGCCAAGGCCCTTATAATAAGTTCCCTCTCTCTAATTTCGTCCCCTTGGCAAAAAAACTACCTCGAGGGGATAAACTCCCCTGGCCAACTTGGAAGACAAGGCAAGGCAAGGTTGCGTACCCACGTTGACAGATCTAAGGACAATCTGTCAAGGTGGGGATTTGTCGACCCAAGCGCAAATAGATGCGACTATGGCGCATCTCCATAGACAGTGGGCCACTTGCTAACATGCCCTGCGAGCCCAGAATCGTGCACGCTTGACGACATGTATCAAGCAGTATTGTATACCAACTAAGTAGTTAGATACGTACTTTCATATGTTTAACGGCAAGATTATCTTTCAAAAACTACCATTTCACTGGTCTCTTAATTTAAACATTAAACCTGAGATGCCCAACAACTAAAAGGAACAGAGAAAGTTCCTACTTTTAACTGTTATATCCACAATTTAAGTTAGAACAACATTACGATAAAAATACTTACTTGTGATTTTCAACCCAGTGTAAAGCATAGAATGAGAACACGTGGTCAAAGCTTCTTTTCATCTCCTCTGGTATTTCATCTACTATATCCGATACAATGAAAGAAGTCTGCGTGTTGCGATTCTGTTCGTTCGCAAACTTCACCATGTTCTCATTTATGTCAGAGCCTAATAAATTGAAATCGTTAGGTAAATACTTCATGAGCATATTCGTAACGCTGCCATCGCCACAACCTACATCGAGGATTCTATTATTGTTTTTCTTCCATGACATTTTTGGTGCGTATTCTTCCAAAAATTCGGCTGCATCTTTCCTCTGCATGCTATTGCTTAGTCGATAAAGTTCGGGTTTATTCATAACTGCAGGAACTGAGCTTGGTTCTTATTATAAGAGTTTATAAACAAAAATAATTTTCAGGCTCGACTAGTACCGTAGACCAGTTCGTTCAAAAGCGTAAACAATACGGCTTTGGCGAACAACAAGGCTATTACGAGATAATATACATGAAGTTGCTCTTTATATCCTGTTTGTGTAATCTTTATTGTCGGACGTCAGAATTAACAATTTCTATTTGAATTTAAATGTAAATTGTAATTATTTTATGTCGTAGGTAATGTTATTTACTGTTAAATTGAAAACATTTTCAAGTTACAAAGTGATAGTAATAAATAAATTATATTACATTCATTTAAGCGAAGCGGCGGTAGTGGTTAAGGCAACCCACTAATAACATAAGCAATTTAGCTTAGCTGGAGGGGTTAACAGGCGTACTAGTAATTTCGGTTGCTAGTAAACGTTCTAATAAAAAATAATCTAAGGAATTTTTAATTATTTATTAAACAGAATTCATTTCACTGAGCTAGCATTCTTAGTATTCATTGCTCTCCAATGTAGCTCTATTTATATATCAGATTATTAAATATGCTGATCCATGCGAGCTGCTCAATACACACATGTGGTACCTAATGTTTATTAAAACTATTTAATCAAGATAATGACTGACTCTGGCGCATCGTTTCGCGGAGCACGTAAATAACCTGAATCATCGTAATGTATGTAAAAATATGAATGTGTGCAAAACCTTGAATCCACGTGATCTTATTTAATCACGTTGCTTTAAGGATTTCAAGACAAAAGTATTTTTGAAAAATATTTTTTATATATGAGGGATATAGAATCAAAGCCAGCTAAATCCATAGGTATAGAACTATGAACGCTATTTTATTCCTTATCCAAATTTGTACATGTTAGGTAAACCGTTTGGTATTAAACGCAGCTATTTTTTAAAGAAAAACCACTTCAAACTCACTCGTTTGAATCAAAGTCAGCTTTATCCAGTATTGTCAGAAACAAATGCAGCTAAGTCCAATTTTTAATATGGCATCTGTCATACAAACAGTTTACACAGTTTACAGTTTTAATTAAAATTTAAAACCTTTTTGGTAAATTTTCAATAAAAAAAGATAATATTTAGTGCCATGGAAGTGCCAGTAACCGAAGCAGCACAAGGAAGTGTTCGAAAACGCAAGAAACAGCCTGCAAATGGGAAAGTAAACAAGGCAAAAATTGATAGGTAATATAGAGTAGTGATGTACTCACTCTCAATCAGTTTCGATAAAACTGTTGCATTGCAGATACACATTTCGTCTTTCAACAGTTTTTATTACTTTTACTTATCGCATTGTCTGTAATCAAATCTTACATGTTAAATTTGATCGACATTCCAGTTTAAAGTTGAGTTAAAATGCACGGATGGCGTTTAGCGGTCGCCCCGCCGCTTCCTACTACGCTGAGTAATGTAAATACGCTAAGGATTTAGATTTCATTTTAGTATCTCAACTACGTACGATGAATAATTTTCTACTTTCTTAATAAATAATAAGGCCAAAAACATATGTCTATCACTTTGGTACATTCATAATCGTAACTTGTCATACGTTTCAAACTTTAAATTTTATGGTTTCCTTATTAGCTAACGAACGTACTATAATCTAAAATATTAATTTTGCTTTGTATTTTCCAAATTCTGACGCGTATCTGCTGTAATAACTCGATACCCAGAATCATCTCGATATACTTCACTAGCAATAGAATTCTTGTTGGAAACTAAAATCAGCTATATCCATACTAGTCAGAATCAGAGACAGCTAAATCCAGGACTTGGTATCAAAAACAGCTATGTCTAGCACAATTATTTAAATTAAACGGTTACTTTTTCTGCTAATTATGATTGTGTTGAAAAACCTATATAATCACTGCAAGCGCCTCCTGCCAAATAAATTATATCTACAGAGTTATCAAGTAAAAATTAAAAAAAATGTTTTTTGGTATTTGTGTAAAAAAAAGTGTGGATGAATTTAGCTGCCTTTGATTGTATACCCCTCATATGTATATATAAAAATTAAATGAAAATTAAAAAATCATCTTTCTGCAAAATAAATACAGATTCTATATCTCACGCATGTGCTCTTAAAGTAGGAAGGTACCGTAACTTTTAACCCTATTGACTTGACTTCTACAGCGAAATTTTAGAAGTGCTTGGAAAAGTTTGTAGCAGTATACATATATATATATATATATATATATATGTATAACCTACATATATGTAAGTATAAGAGCTATGGATTTACATACCATCCAACATTGAATTCCCAATTGCGTCAGGATTTTCTTCCCATAAAAATCAAATCAAATACTTTATTTGCATTACACAGGTACAAAAAGGGTGTTAAACAATAATAATAATTAAAAAAGCGCTGGGTTGTATCTTATATCATGTGAAAAAAAATAACTTATGACCTATACGGTGATGAGTTTCTTTTTTTAAAGAACTTTCGCATTATGAATACATTCTGTGTCGCGGGGGACTTTACAAAGATACATGAAACGGGACACAGGACACAAAGAACACCCAGACTCAGAATAACAATTTGTTGGTCACACAAAGTGTTGTCCCATGTAACCGAATTAACCACTACGCCTTCCATGCAGTCAATAGTCAAAGATATATCCTATATAATTATATCCTGTATTAGGTGTGCAAATTTATTAGAAACGAGATGTTATGCATGTATCTGCATGCAATTATAATTTAGTACTAATAACTACCATTAACAATATTGTAATAAATAATTAATAACAGTGGTTGCATAAGAATCTCACAAACAATGTCCATAAATTAATAATGTCAATAAAATACTACTAAAGATTACTTATAAATCACTTATGGTCAAAAAGCTAAATATCCACAGTATCTAATAATAATAAAAGTGTTACATTATAAAAAGTACATTATAATGGTCCAAAAATTATATTTTATATTAATTGTAATTACTATTTTGTTATCATTTATCCGCCAAAAACCTAAGACATTGTTAAATAAATTAATTTTAAATATACCTAATTAAATTTGAATCTTATATTGTTTGGTAATTTATTATATATTTTCGGAGCCATGGCAAAAACGCTTTTGTGCACGAGGGCAGTATAAGACCGTCATAATGTCGCAAATATGTCTGGATTAACTTTTACAAACAAAAATTATATTATTTAAACTTGTATATTTAACTGCAAGGAACAAATTTAATCAAAGTTGTATCTGTATTCGAAATTTTAGCAACTGTCCGTGTAGTGACGGATTAAGAATACGGATTCTCACCACCCCCTTTCATCCCGTGGGTATAAAACATGCAATATACATTATTTTCGAAATATTTTACTCATTTTGAAATCATTGGTCAGTACTCTATCGAATAAATGTCACTTTTTTACTTTAACACTAATAGTTTTGTAAGGCTAGTTCGATTTTTGTTTTTGACCTCTTCTATAAAATTTGATAAAATACACTTACTGGGCTATGATTGGGGCAGCCGTGCTAAACGCTCAATTCCGCACACTCGGCATAACGGTCGGAGCGCAATTTTGCGATTGTTGTAAATCGACTTTTTCAGTATTTCTACTTAACTGAATAAAACGGCATTTTACCACGTTGTACAAGAAGTCTCGATGAACAAAAGCGTTTTTGAAAATGCATTCAAAGTTGTCCCAAAACCTTTTTAGAGCCATTCTCTCGAAGGCCTTTTTTTCAGTTTTATTTTAAAGTTTCGCAAAAAGTTTAAAGTTGATCTTGCTGAAATTTTGTAGGCTAACTGGAGGCTACAAAACCCACATTCTTACCAAATTTGGGGTCTTAATATTGATTAGAACGCGATTTATATTTTTTTTTAAACGGCAAAAAACGCGGTATTTTGCAATTTGCAAAAAAACTATTCAACCAAATTTACAAGTCTCATTTTATATACATTTTTATTGCAAATTTTTCGTACACTTACACTTTCGTTGTACGATTTAAAGTTTTCTTGTAACGCGATGAACCGTTTCTGACAGTTTTTTACACTTTTTACGTTGTCAACTAACGGATAAAACCCTTTTTAAAAAAAAAGTTGAACCGACTTCAAAAAACACCGACAAAGAGCACTAAAAATTAAAAAATAATTACAAATCTAAGTAAAAAACTATAATAAGTACCCTCAATGTAACGTAATGGCACCGACTTCAAACAGACTAGAAGGGACTATTGGTATTATAATGTTACCTGTTACATTGAGGGTACTTATTATAGTTTTTTACTTAGATTTGTAATTATTTTTTAATTTTTAGTGCTCTTTGTCGGTGTTTTTTGAAGTCGGTTCAACTTTTTTTTTAAAAAGGGTTTATTTATTTTACCATTTTTAGTGTAGGATATGAAAATGACATTGGCGTCCAAACTGATCAAGATCAGCTTAAATTCTTTTCTAAGAAACAGTCAAATTCTTGTGAGTTGCAACCGAACAAAATAACTTCCGATTCAATTGACACTGATCTCGAAGGTGAAGATAGGGAAGCTTTAGTGAGACTACTCAACAAATATGCTCAATATTTTATAGAAGGAGTTCCAACTAGAAGGGTTAATACTAGTATGTTAGAAATTAACCTAGTTGACCCACCCAAAATTTAAGAGTTTTTTCCAGAACTATTTTAATAAATTAAGTATAAAATTACTTACAAACGAAATGCGATGCCATCCATAGCAACAAAACGTCTATCCGAATTATTTTAACAAGATAGAATACAAAATTTCAACCTTTTCTTCTTAATACAACGAAAATTACTGTGGTGACATAAATACTGCAAGTTCTCTGCGCATCACATCGCGCAGTCTCTGACAGTTGCCATGGTTTGTTTGGCTAAAGAAATACTCGTAGCTAAAACACGTTGTCGGGGCTGTCAAATTCCCAATAATTGTGAGGGTTTCACTCGATTTCTCTAGGATCCCATTATCAGATCCTGAATTGGTGGTAATGGGACCAATTCGGGAG